TTCGCGCTAATCGTTGACATGTTAAAAAACTCCCCTTTTCAGGATGAAGTACATGACCTGGAACCACTACTAGGTATTGCTTTAGGCCATGCACATCCTGATTGTAAGATTTAATCTTACAACTCTGTTGTTGTACCTGCGTCCAGGCGCCCCTTTTTTGCATGGAGTACTGCCTCCACGTGCCTCGCCACCCCGGACCAGTTGCTCTCGCTCGCTCGCTTGCTCCACATTTCACCAATCTGTGCTTCTAGGCTGGCTCTCTCGGTTGACCATTTATTGCACTCGAAGAATGCAAAGAAGTCTGCATCATCGACTTCTGCGTCGTCAAACTTTCTTGTCGTCCAGACCATTAAATCGTGGATGAGTCTTGGAGTCTACCTACCAATAGTTTCGTTGCTCCACCTGTTCTGGCATTCTTGCATTGTGTGTTCTCAGTAGCTTGCTCTCATGCTGTTGTTATCGTTGTTTTGGAGGCTTAACCATGCTCGCCTTCGTTCCATGTCAAAGAGATTGATGGGTATTGCGCTGCTGATCACAAGAACCTCCGCGCCGGAAACCGTTCGGTAAGCTGATGCTATTCTGGACTTTTTGGAGCGCATAGCGCTTCTGACTAATCTGTAAGGTGTTTGACCATACTTCCGACCCGTAGAGTAGTACTGCGTTCACTACTGCCATTAGCAATTTTCGTTTACCTTCTGTTGGTACACCAACGTTTGCCATCAGCTTGCTAAGGGACGCTAAAGCCTTTGAAGCTTTTTCGACAGCATGGTTTATCTGAGCCCAATACGAAACCTAGAGTCCAGTCGCATACCAAGATATTTCATTACCTTGGATGTTTTTATGATCGATTCCCAGACCTGCATTTCGATTTCCAAGGGTATTTGCCGCTTCGTTAGTAAGATCAATTCAGTCTTCTCGGTTGCTAGCTTCAGCCCACGGTCATCCATCCAAGCCATTGTGAGTATCATCACCTGGTGCAGTCTGAGTTGTGCCTCGTGCGCATTTCGTGCTGTGATGACTGCAGCTACATCATCAGCAAAGCCGACTAGGTGAACGTTGTGTGGCATTTCGATGGAGAATATTTCGTCGTAGCTCGCATTCCATAGATCGGGGCCGAGAACGGAGCCGTGTGCTGCTCCAGAAAAAATCTTCTTGGTTTTCCTGCCGTTACTTGTGTGGTAGAGAAGCTTTCTTTCGCTAAGGTAACTGCGGATCATTTGCAGTAGGTACATAGGTGCACTAAAGCGCCTTTCTAGGGCGTTGATCACATCGATCCATTATAGGCTGTTGAATGCGTTTCGAATGCCTAGAGCCACCAGAAGGACTATACGCTTCGAGTAGGCGTTGCCACGCTGTGCAGCCTCTACGGATACCACCACGTCAGCACAGCTCCTATGATGGACTTTCCTGGCCGGAAACCGTGTTGTCTGTTGGATAGTCCCCCAGCGATTTTGATGGATTCTGCTATACGCGGTTTTAGCAGTCATTCTAGCAATTTCCCTGATGTGTAGAGCATACAAAGCGGACGGTATGCGTTCGGTATCTGGGGGTTGCCCTTCCCTTTGCTAATCAGAGTTAGTTGCCGTTTTTTCCAAACCTCTGGAAAGATTCCTTCCTTCAGGCAAGAATTAAACATTTCAAGCAGGAGTTGCGGACGGTCATCTGCTATCAGTTTAATCACCTCTGATGGAACACCATCTGGTCCTGAAGCCTTGTTGTTCTTCTAAGATTGTGCGGCGGCTTTAAGTTCGTATTTTGTGAAAAATGGTGGGTCGTCAATGAAGGTCCTTTCGGAATCTCTTCGCTCTTCATGGTCCGAAAAGAGAGAATTTACGATGTGGTCCATCATACTTACTTCCAGATCAGGAATTGATGCCAAGGTACTTAGTTTGAGCATAACGATCTTGTAGCCAAGTCCCCAAGTCCCCAAGTGTCGTTATTTACGTTGTTACGCAGTTCTTCCCATTTTCTTTTCTTGCTTCTGTGGATAGCAAGGTTTAACGCTTTCCTCGCCGCTTTCAGTGCTTCAATTTCTGTCGTGGCGTTACTTTGGGTTCTGGTCCTAGTCATTCTCTTCCGCATTTGGAGGCAGACCCTTCGAAGCCCCGCTATTTCCTCAGTCCACCAATAGGATTCTTTTCTTCCAAAGTTTTTCGTAGATCTAAGCGTTGCTGCGTTCATAGCTCCAAGCATTACTGCGTCGATTCAGTTTGTTCGTGGACCATTTGCAAGTAGATTTTCTTCCGGAGTTTCCATTTCCCCTGCTGAGTAATTCGACGATGTCTGGAATTGTGCCTTCGCAACCTAGTTTGCGAAAGGTGGGAACCGTTCCTCTGTTTGCGACAACCAGCCCTAATCTGGCCGCCATGTCGAGGACTCGCCGACCTCTAGAGTTTGTGGTCGTCATATTCCATTCGATGGCCTTCGAGTTGAAGTCGCCCGCTATGATGAAGTTGCCGCTTGTTTGGATGGCGCAATCCTCGATTGCGTTTAGTTTTGTTTGGAACTCGCCAATGCTGTCGCTAGGTGTTAGGTAACAGCTCATGAACTGCGTTTGCAGTTCATGAACACCCTCTTTAATGTCCGTCGCGACATTTCTTTGCCGGTTTATGGCTTGCTTTATTTTGTTAAGGGCGGTCACGCATTTTTCGAATGTCTGCGCCTCTTTATTCTACATTTTGTACTCATTTTCCGGTGAAATAGCACACCATTCGTTTTTTGTGACATTTTTGGTGTGCCCTCGTCATTTGCGGACTTCTTTAGGCCATCTTGTAGTGGCACTTCCGCTGACATTTATGTTGTGTCATTGTTCATGTTTATAAAGTCTAAACTCCTAGCCGCTATCAATGTTCGATTGTATAGTCGCTCATAACGATTCCCATGGTTCTCTATGCAAAAGCAGGGAAACCATTCGAGGGTTTACACAATTCCTTATGGGAGACTGTGTTCAGAGCCATGGTTTACTTGCTGCTACTGGAGGATTCTTTTTGTTACATGCACACTTTTCACAACGTCTGGTTAACATTTCTATATCTTCATATAAACCAGGCCACCAAAAATATATTCGCGCAACTGCTTTCATTGTCGACATGCCCTGATGAATTTCGTGCAACATTCAAGTATTCTGGGACGTAGTACTGCCGGTATTATTACCCTGGCTCCCCATAGCAAACATTGTGCATTCACTGATAGTACCTGAATTTTATTCACAAACGGTTTAAACTGGATTGACTTATATGGCAAAACTGTATCTTTCCTTTGGATATGCCACATTACTTTTGATAGTACTGTATTTCTTCTGGTTGCTTGTGCAATGTCATTCGCAGTGATCAAAAACTGTTCTTCAGCCTCATTACAGTATAATATTTCAGGTATTTCCGGTATTTGTAGCTTTACATCATTTAAAGGTAACCGGCTCAATGCATCTGCATTCTGGTGATGTTTCCCTTCTCGAAATTTAGTCTCGTACTGGTAAGCGCCTAACTTTAACGACCACCTTAACATTCTGGGTGATATATGCTGTGATATTGGTTTTTCTGGGTTGAATAATCCCACTAGTGGTTTATGATCAGTCATTATTGTAAATTGTCTACCACTTAAAAATTGATGAAACTTTTGCACACCAAACATAATCGCTAGTGCTTCTTTATCCAACTGTGAATAATTTCGTTGCGCTCCCTGTAATGTTTTGGAGCCAAAAGCAATCGGTGCTTCACTATCATCCGGCATCTTGTGTGCCAAAACCACGCCAACTTCATACGGCGATGCGTTTCCGCCTAATATCAGTGGTAGGTCAGCCGAAAAATGCACTAACAGATTTTTTGATTGTAGTAGTTCTTTTGCTCGTTCAAAACTTAATTTCTGTTCTCTACCCCATTTAAAAGGTATCTCTTTTCTTAATAGTTGATACAGCGGTTCCAATAGATCGCCCTTATTCTGTAAAAATCTATCATAAAATGTAAATAACCCAAGAAAAGCTTGTAGCTGTTGTTTATTTATTGGTTCTGGTGCTTGAGCTTTTGCCTTCACCTTTTCGTCAGTTGGCCGCACTCCTTCTCAACTTATCTTAAACTCCAAAAATGTTATCTCTTGTACCGCGAAAACACATTTTGATTTTTTAAGCTTTAATACTGCATCCTGTACACATTTCAGAGCAGTTCATATTCTATCTCATAACTCTTCCAGAGTTGTTTCGCCAATTAGAATGTCGTCTAATAAATAATCACACCATCTATGTTCTTAAGAACTCCCTCCATTACACGTTGAAAAATATCTGGTGCTGTTGAAATTCTAAACGGTAATCTTGTAACTTCAAAAAGTCCGCGATGTGTGTTTAATGTAAGTATCCTTGCTGATTCTTGGCCAACCTTCACCTGTGTATACGCTTGATCTAAATCTAGCTTTGTAAACTACTAACAATTTGCTAATGTTGCTAGTACTTCTGCATTAGTAGCTAATGGATACGTTTCCTTGCAAAGCATTTGATTCACTGTGCACTTATAATCTTCACAAATGCGTATGCTACCATCTGGTTTAATAATTGGTACAATCGGTGTTGCCCACTCACTAAAGGGTATTGAGAGTAGTGCGCCTTCACATTTCAACTTCTTTAATGCTGCTTCCACCTTGAGTTTTAGTGCAAAAGGCACTTGTCGAAATCGAAGAAATTTAGGTTTGCTTGAAACTGGCATTTGTAACTTCACAGGATTTCCCTTGTAATCTCCAAGATTTCCATCAAAAACCGAACTGAAGTTCATCACTTCTACTAGAATAGTTGATTCTATATTGCATAAATTGCTGGTTATACTAATTCCCAAATCGTCAAACCAATTTCGACCAATTAGAGTCGGACCATCACCTGCTGCTACTAACAACTTTAGTTTCTTTGTGACATTCCCAAACGAGACTGGTACTTCAGCTTCTCCACTCAGTTTAAGATTTTCTTCTGTTCTCCAAGTTCTTAATTGTATTTGACTTGGTTTTAACGGAATATACGGCATTTTTCCTCTAAATAACTTTTCACTTACTATTAAGTAACTTGCACCAGAGTCAATTTCCATTTGTACCGGTGACTTACCTATCGTAATCACTCTCTTAACCGCTGGGCTACTTTTAGCGAACATTGACCATACATACTCCGTTGTTTGAGTTTCCTGGTTTGTATCTAAAAGATTTACTCTGTTTGGCTTTCTCCAATTACTTGTTGCTGGCTATTTGAATTTTGTTTTTTTTTATGCAAGCTCTCTTAATATGTCCAAGCTTTTTATAATAATAACATTCCGCGTCTTTAAATTTGCACTGATCTGACTGATGATTTCCTCGACAACGATAACAATTCTGAATATGGTCTACTGGAGCACGAATATGTTTTATCTTGTTGCTTGAAATTTTATTCAAACCTGGCAGGCTGGCTGACGTTTTAAGTTCCGTCGCATTTTTTTGTACTGTTTCTGATGCAATAGCTTCCTCCTGCGCTATTTTTAATGTTAACTGGTCATTCGCCAGAAGCCGCTTCTGTAATTTCCCGTCGTGAATGCCACAGACTAACCTGTCTCGTAACATTTCATCTAAATCATTAAAATTGCAGTCTTGGCTCAATTTCCTTAGCACTGCCAAAAATTCGGTAATTGATTCGTCTTCTGTTTGATACCTCCTATAAAATTTAAAACGGTGAATTATTATATTAGCTGCTGGACAAAAATGACTCGTCAATAGTTTAGTTGCCGCATCAAATGTAAATTTCTCATCTAATATGTTAACCGGTGTGGCGACCGATTTTAATATTGTAAAAGTTTCCATCCCACATGAAGCTAGAAAGATAGCTTTTTCTTTTTTGCGTCTGTAATATCCTTAGCTAAAAAGAAAAATTCCATTTGTTCCATATACGTTTGCCATTTTCCTGATGCCACGTTAAATTAGCTTAAATCTCCGAAATTCTTCGCCATCATTTGACATTGTTTAAAAATAGTCTGCTCACAAGAAATGTTTTATCCTCGTCGCCAATGTTGTTATATACTTTATTGATTTAAAGTTATATAGATTTTACAATTTAATAATAATAATAATAGTTTACACGGCATGGCACGCTTACTCCTTTGATCACAACGACGAACAGCAACGCACTTTGTATTTTACCTTTTTTTACCTATTTCTTTATACAGAAATAGGTTGCTATGATCGAATATACTACTATTTTTATGCCTTTATATATTAATGATTTTGTTGACTATATTTTAAAGTAAGTGAAAAAGCACGGATAATGAAATTTACTTAATAAGTTAAGCTTTCTAGGTAAGCAGCAGAAATATACTATAAGCGTCTCCTCTGCTTATGACCAAATAATTTTCCGAACAAATAATTTAATAGAAATATTTAATCTAGTTACAGAAAGCGTTTACACAAATTTATTGTCATACTCGAATGCTTTGGAGAAATAAATGCTACACATAAGCAATTTTTATGATGAAACGCGCAAATATTGAGATGAGCACACTCGGAAGTATTTAATTTTTATGTAAAAAAATGAAAGTTGTTTGATAAACTTAGTATTACTGCAGGCTTGACAACATGCCGTGCTAAGCAACTTTTGTCGAAAAATTGTGTCTGCGTCCCATAGTTGTTTTGATATTTATATCACTTTAAATAAGGATCGACAAAAATAAACGTTTACTTAAATTACAGTTGTCCTAAAACAAATAATACAAATGAAAGATTTGTGTAACAATTCTGGAGACGAAAACAATGCTTCTAAAAAATCATTTCCGTACCCATCATGTTACAATGACGAGCAAAGAATTCATGCGTTAATGGCGCCTTTCCGCGAACGTCATGTAAATCCAGAAAACTATGATTCGAAATTGAAATTTTGGGAAAACTGTATATTCTTGTATTGTGAGTTTAAAGGTGAACCCAAGTTCAATAAAAAAGAATTACAAGATGTGCTTTCAAAAGGGGTGCATTCTATTTATGCCCTAGATACAGTTGTGGATGGAATGATAAGTTCAAAAAAAATACGATCTCTTCCTGAATATATGTATAATCCTAATGATGGTTGGAAAGGTTGGATTATAAACAATTTTATACGAAAACCATTAGCTTGGGGTGCGCACAAATTCAAATCTAATTTTAAACAATTTCCTGAATTGAATTCAGATGTACAGTATTTTGTACATTTACATACTTTAGATGTAAGGTTTTGTTTATAAATAGTGTATTGCATTATATATGAAAAATGTTGTAGAATTTTTGCAAGGATTTGGAAGTTAAAACTCTTCAACAACAACAAGGCAGATTGGTTTCGTATAATGATTTTAAAGAATTGGTGAATAGTTCCTTGTGTCTTTCTGAAGATGGATTAAAACTATGTTTATACACTTTATATGGACGTGAAAAAATTGGTTTAAAATTTTCTTCTCCAAATGATGTACTATACATTCATTTTATTAAAATACCATGTAAGTGAGTACATAAATTTAAAAGATGTCTACTAATTTTTTATTAGCTAGTTCGGATGATAGTATCAATATCACAGAAGCTGATCTTGCTTCATATAACTTAAAAGTTTGCCAAGGGAAATTATTACAGCAAATAAATGAATTGGAATCGGAAGTAAAACAAAGTGAAAATAAAGTGTTAGAATATATTAGCCAAAATAGACGCTATCTTGCAGAACCACATTTAAGAAAGAAACGTTTCTTGGAAAATAAATATAGTATGGTTCATAATAGAATTCATTTAATAAAATATATTAAAATTTAAATGTTTAAAATTTACAGAAAAGAGATGTTCTGCTTTACAAAATATCGAGACGTTACTTAATAATATTGCCGATGCAAAAACGAATAGTGAAATACTTCATGCTTACCAATCTGGGTCTAAAGCATTGCAAACCACTCTTAAGGAATCAGGTCTCCAATTTGAAAAAATTGATGATATTATATCCGAAGTCCGAGAAACAATGGAAAATTATGAAGACTTGCAGGATTCAATATCTAATATAAAATTAGGTCATTCAGACATGGGTGAAACTATTGGCGAAGATGAACTGGAAGCTGAACTGAATATTTTAATAAATAAAAGTCAATCCGAAGAAAATGTTAAAAATGATACAGATATTAAAATGGCTACAAAGCAAATAAATATATGCAATGAAGATCTATTCTCAATGCTCAAAAACTTAGATGTTGAAAGCAATTCCCCGCAAAATACCGCAAGTAAAGGTCGTGTTTTGATTAATAAAAATGACTGACTAAATAATTTTTTTTAATTCTCCTGCATACTCTAAATTAAAATCTTTTGTTAATAAGTTTGATACAATCTTGATTTGTTTTTGTAAATAATGTAAAAATCAGAAATTGAATTGACAATTTTTTAAAGGAAGTGTTATATTGAGGAAATAAAATAGCCATGCAAGCACAAATTTTGAATTAAATTACTTTTTTAAGTTAGCCGTAAAATGAGTTCATAAGTGATGAACACGGAATATAACAAATCATGGTTTATCATAAGGGATACTTGATATGAACATTACATTCGGAGACAACTACTATCAATTTGTGATGAACTTAATGTTTCCAGAAGTAAGCACGTTATGCTAACAATTATTCCCAATATGGCTCCATGCGTTATGCCTGTTAAACATTTGGTTTTTTAGATGAAGATAACAAGTTTCGATAAACATACTTTCGCTAACTCTGCCAATGTATAATAATGTAATAAGTATTATATAAGTATAATATATATACACTCGGAGTCATAAGTGTACAAGTAGGCAGTACAAAAAACTTTGAAAATTTTTTCCAAAAACTCAATTTATTGGAAACATACTGTTACGTTATCGGCTGTAATGCATGTTCGTCCGAATTGCAGGATTTTGTACAGTGAAAGAAACTTCTTGACTTGAGAATCTACGAGGGCTGCTATATATATTTCTGGCCTAGGCAACACTAAGTATTGCCAAGTGCAATCTGATATTTCCATTGGAAAGGTTGATGTTTTTTAGCATAACATCATTCAGAACGTGTTGTCATTTAATTGTGATTTGTTTTATTTACAGAGACTTGAAAAATGAAAAAAAAATGGAATTAACACTTGGACATTTTCATGCGATCATTTTTCACAACTTTCGACGTGGATTATCACGACAAGAGTGCAATGATGAACTTAAATCTTTATATGGCGATGAAGCACCATCCTATAGCATTGTGAAAAAGTGGTTTAATGAATTCAATCGTGGCCGACGCTCGTTCAACGACGAATACCGTGAAGGTCGTCCGAAAACGGCCGTTGTGCCAGAGAACATTGATGCCGTGCGTGAACTGATAATGCAAGATTTTCATGTGACATACCGTGAGATAGAGGTATCCTTCGGCATTTCTCCCACCAGCATACATTCGATATTGCATGAACACCTGGCCGTAAAAAGGGTTTGTTCTCGTTGGATCTCTCACAATTTAACAATTGCTCAAAAAAAGGCTCGTGTCGATTGCTGCAAAGAAATGTTGAAAAACTGCGTTAGCGGTGCTTCAAAAGACGTTTATAAGATCGTCACAGGTGACGAATCATTGATCTATGCGTATGAGCCCAAAACAACAATCGACCGTGTGGGTCTTCGAAGACGAGCCAAATCCAATGAAAGTTGTTCGTGGAAGAAGCACTTCGAAGCAAATGGTCGCCTGTTTCTTCGGAAAACATGGTTATGTGGTTATGTGGCGACTATTCCGCTTGAGCAATGAAGGACAGTCACTTCTGAGTGGTACACCACAATTTGTTTGCCTAAAGTCTTCGGAGAACTTCAAAAAACGAACATGAAATGTCGAATCATTGTTCACCATGACAACACGAGCTCTCATACATCGGTTCTAAACCAGCGCCTTTTTGATCCGCCAAAACGTCGAATTGATGGGTCATGCACCGTACAGCCCTGATTTGGCACTCAATGACTTATTTTTATTCCCGCACATCAAGAAACATATGCGTGGTCAATGATTTTCGTCGCCAGAAGATGCTGTTGAAGCGTTCAAAAACCATGTTTTGGAGGTGTCTCAATAGAAGTGGAAAAAGTGCTCCGACAATTGGTTTGAGCGCATGCAAAATACTTTGAAAAACAATAAAACAATTTTTGATGATAAATATTCGCATTTTCATTATTAGGCCAGAAATATATATAGCAGCCCTCGTATATGCTGTAGTGGCATATTAACCATTACCACAGACAATGCGTTGTTTGCGATATTTAATGTCTCACACTAACCCGAGATGGTGGATATAAATACATTAATAAAATTAATACCCGAGTTTAAAAGTGATAAAACTGAACTTTACACATTTGTCTCCGCTTGCGATGATGGTATAGGCGTAGCAAAGCCGCATCAAAAAGATTTCTTATTTAAATATATAAAGTCACAGATATCAGGGAATGCAATATTGATATTAGAAAATAAAGTTATAGACAGTTGGAATGAACTTAAGACTCAACTCAAACAGAACTATAAAGATAGTGACAGTACACTAGCTTTATATAGACAACTGATATCTACTAGACAAGGGGGACGAACGGTTAGGCAGTTCCAATTGTTTATGGATACCATGTCTAGGAAATTGGGAACAGATGCGAAAATAGAAACGCAAGATGCTAGTGTTAGAGAAGCAGTTTATAATAATATTGAAACTAAGATCGTTTTAAATGCGTTCATAAATGGCTTAGATGGAGAAATCGGCCAATATGTGAACAATTGTCGTCCACAATCGTTGTCAGAGGCTGGAAGATTTGCACAGGATGAAGAATTCAGAATAAGTTACAGACAAAGTGTGAGACGAAATTTCAGTGTTAAAGTAACACAAATAAAGTGCTAAATTGCGGAAAATTAGGGCACATTGCTTCAAAATGTATCATAAAAAAGGAACAAACTAATAGCACTGGAGAAAAAATTATGAAGTGCTATAAATGTGGCAAAATAGGACATTTTGCAAATAAATGTTACTCAAAGGTACGTACAAAAGAATGTTTCTCCGGAAGGAAACAAAAATTTTCGAAAGTAGAAAACGCAAGTAAGGCAACGTTTTCCTTAAATGTGAGTAAAGAAAGTCCTTACATAATAATAGATCATAAGAAATGCTTTTATAAATTCCTTATAGATACTGGGGCTAGTATTAGTTTAATTAAATCTAAATGCATATATATAGAAGAAATGAATAATATTAATAAGATATAATTAGTTGGTATAGGCAAAAAATCTGAAAAAACAATAGGAAATGCATCTATTAGAATAGGAATTAAGAATTTAAAAGGCAAAACGCATAATTACAGATGGAATTTTCACGTGATACCAAATGATCTGGTTTATGGATATGATGGCATAATCGGAGCTGATTTTTTAAGTGCAAGATAGATTATGACCAGGATTTATTTTATGTTGATAAAAATGTACATAGTCTCCAATGTAATAAATTTGAAGAATTTGTTCCTCCAAGAATGGAAGTCTTTCGTTCTATTAAGGTTAAGAAAGGTAAAAAGAATGGATTAGATGTATATGTTCCGCGTTATGAAGATGAAAAAATTGTCATTCCTCATTGTATTAGCACAATGAGAAATGGAAAATGCTTAGTAAGTATTATAAATAAATGTGAGGAAAAAGTTGTAATTGATTTTCCGTTGAAGGTAGAAGATCTTAGGGATTATAATATTGATGATAATTGTAGGAAGGATCCTAAAAAAGAAAAATTAATGAAAGAGAGAGTCTTTCAAATAAGAAATAGGTGTGAATGTATACAAAAGCGTTTAAGAATAGATCATATGAATGATGAGGAGAATGAATCAATTAGGAAATTGATTTCAGAATATAGTGATTTGTTCATTTTAGAAGGAGAAAAATTGAGTTTCACGGAAACATTAACTTGTGATATAAGAACACAAGAAGGAGTAAAACCTATTTATACGAAAACATATAGATATCCAAAGGTACATGAAGAGGAAGTGAAGAATCAAGTGAAGAAATTGTTAGAAAACGATGTAATACGGAATTCTAAATCGCCGTGGAATTCTCCTGTGTGGATGGTTCCGAAAAAGAAAGATGCTTCTGGAAAAGCTAAGTGGCGAATGGTAGTCGACTTTAGGAAATTAAATGAAATGACGATAGCGGATACATATACAATACCAAATATCAACGAGATTTTAGACCAATTAGGAGTGTCTAAATATTTTACAACACTTGATCTAACAAATAGATTTCGTCAGAAGAGAGAGTGGCCGTAAAGGTATACCAATTCAGTTTATTAACAGAAGTTTCAATAGTGCTGAGAGAAATTATAGCACTACAAAAAAAGAGTGTTTGGCCATTGTTTAGGTCGTGAAAGTATTTAGACCACATTTGTATGGAAAGAAATTTTTGATCAGAACGGATCATGAGCCATTGAAATGGTTGTTTAATGTAAAGGACCCTGGATAGAGATTAGTACGATAGAGACTTAAGTTAGACGAGTATATGTATGATATAGAATATAAAAAAGGAGTTGAAAACGTAGTAACTGATCATTTGAGTAGAAATGTCTTAGTAGTAACAAGAAAAGAAAAGAAACGTTGTAGTTGTTGTAACGAACAGAGCAAAGGAGAAGATGAAAAAGCGGAAAATACTCAAGAGAAAATGGAAATTGAAAATAATGGAAAAGAAGCGATTAAAGTAAATTTTAAAAACATTGTTAAAGAAAATGTTCAAGAGACAGAGAAAATGATCGAGGTAACAGATTTTCAGAAAATGAAAGAAATAATTAATGAGTATCATGACAATATTATAGGTGGTCATGTCGGACAAAAAGCAACTATTGCGAAAATTAGAGAAAAATACAAGTGGAAAAATTTAAATGATATGGTTGCAGATTATGTAAGAGCCTGTAAAAAGTGGCAATTATCTAAAATAGATAGACATGCTACTAGAATGCCTATGCAACTGGTTTCAAATGCTTCTTGTGCACTCGAACAAGTCAGCATGGATTTAACTGGTCCTTACCCAATATCTGAATCAGGAAATTTGTAAGCATTAAGTATACAAGACAGTCTTTCAAAATATGTACGTTTTACACCACTTAAAGATAAAACTGCAGAAACTGTTGCTCAAGCTTTTGAAGGATTATGAAGCTAACGAAGGATTTAGCTAAAATCTTTAAGATTAAACATATTACTACTAGTGTGGCTCATCCATAAGCAAATGGGTCAATAGAAAGAATTCATGGAAGGTTGAAAGAATATTTGAATACAGTTGATTTGGAGAAATCAAATTGGGATAAAGCAATGAAGTTTGCAGGTTTATGTTATAACACAATAACTCATTACTCCACTGGTTTTTCACCACACGAAATAGTTTTTGGAAGGAAAGGAAATAGACCGAGACCGAGGATATGTCAATAATATAAAAATATCATAGAGAACATTGAAAAGCAAGTAAAAGAAAATACGACGGTTTGTAAGGAAAAGTCAAAATTAATTTATGTTAAAAAGATAACAGATACACCTAATTATGAAGTAGGTCAAAAGATAATTGTGAAAAATGTTGCAAAAAATAAAAAGTTAGAGAACACTTTTACTGGTCCATATACCACTGTAAAAGTTACCAAAGCTAATGTCTTTATAAGAACAAATCCTAAAACAAGAAAAATTTCAAAAAATCTGATCAAAAGATATATTGAAAACTAATTTTGTTTAAATTGTTCAGCTTCTTTCTAGCTATATTCGCTCTTAAAATCGAGGATATTAATGGGAAAAGAAGCTTTTATTTCAAGAAATTACAGGAAACCAGAATCGTGGATGGTCGCATATCCATAATTACTAATGTAAATCTAACTTCTTATGAAGATAAAATTAATTGGCTTGGGAGTAAAGTAGATCATGTAGATAAAACTTGCATGGATCCCTATCACGAATGTGAAGAGATCATTGTTTTTGGAAAACAGCATTTTAAGAATTTAATAAAAAAAAATGTAGTAAATAATATGCTTGGAATTAAGTCCAGTTTGAAGGGAAATAGAAACAAGAGAGGAATATAAAATATAATAGGATCAGGGCTCAAAGTTTTATTTGATACAATGGATAGTGAGGATGCTGAATATTATAACAAGGTGATAACGGATATAAATAATAATGAAGAGTTTATACAAACAGGATTGAAGGAAGAAATTAAAATTATTCAAAATTTAAACGAACAAAACTTAAACATAAAGAAAAGTTTCGAAGATATACAGAACACTACCAATAAATTCATGAATAAACTTAACTCATTAATAGGAACAGTTAGTAAAAATAGTAAAAATATTTAGTAAAATAGTAAATAGTATGGCTATATAATATTTGAATACATGCAAGAAATGGAATTAAAAATAGTAAGCAATTGCTTAGACCTTGAATTTGAATTTGAATTAGAAAGGTTAATTGATATCATTTTAATCATGCCACTAAAATTAATACACCCAATGTTATTGAGTCCAGAAAAATTTATTGATATACATATTACTGAAAAGTAAAAATGTACCAAATCTTTTATATACACCTAGTTTGGAATCATAAAGTTAAATTATAAAGTATTATAGTTCCATTATATAATATTATATAATAGTTCTAGTTCCATTTGTCAAAAAGGACATATCATAAATTTCCTATCAGGTAATACCAGTTCCAATATTTGAAAAGAATAAACAAATGATATTAGAAAAAAAAAATAATAATTTTTAATATCTAGGGACAAGGAATATTTTGCCATGTTTGACAATTTAAATGATTTCGAAGTTGTTGATAATAGCTATCTGTTAGCTAATGAATTAATATCTGAGTCAACTATTACTGTAGAAAATTGTGTTTTAAATAACTTTATGAAACGAAATAGTAAACGTTGTCAAATTAAATACATACCATATAATGTAGAGACTGTAACGACCTTTCCGGCCTCTACCGCGGCCGGGGTATACTCAGCGTATACCAGGGTTCAGTACAAAAAAACTCAACAACCAAAAAATTTAATAGGCCAAATTAAATTACAAATAATTATAAAAAAAAATACATTACACGATTTAACATACTTCAAATAATTATATTTATTTATCATAGATATTCTTAAAAAAAATTAAATAATACTTCAAAAAAAAAACTAAGTATGTAGATAATTAATGCACTAAGTAATTCATTTAGTTATTATTGCTATTCTGGCAATTGATGCCTGAACAAGAATGTTCATTAACAATCTTTATGTCCCTTACCACTGGTGGGGGGAAACAATAAATGATTGGTGAGACGTTGATTTACTTTCAACAACTGATTTTATTTAAATTGATTTGTTCTTTTATACAAAATAAAATGCAAACGTAATTGCAAAACATACAATAAATAAAATAACTTATTGCTTAATTCGCACAAATTGCTTAATAAGCAATAGTTGCGAATGCTTTACTTATGACCTAATTTTTACTTTTTGTTGATTCGTCAACCAAGAAATTAAGCAACAGGTGTGAGCGATTAACTCATGACCTACTTCTTAATTTTTTGTTGATTCGTCAACATTATGCCGGCTCTGCGTTGGTATTACGAGTTGGTCTAGATTTGGTAGTTTCAGCAGGTTGTTGTTTATGTGCAAGACCAAGCGACATCGTAAGTGGACGGTGATGTATGATTATTGGCTGATGTTGATAATGTAGTTCCTAATGTGAGATATGCCAACAATATAGCAAGAACTGTCGATTTTGATTGCCTAGCCGCTAACCATTGTCGTCGCGTTCTAGGATCTCCTACAGTAGAATTTGTCGGAACTACTTCTTTATTTCTGACAAGGTTTCCCAATGGTAACATATCTTGAATGTCTGAATCTGCCTTGGTT